CACACACACACACACCCACAACTTGTACACAAACAAGTGACTTGTGAGACATTTTCAAAACCCCCCACGTGGCAAAGGGTTCATTTCCCACATCTGATGTTTGATGTGATCTTGAAGTGTCAGTAACCTCTGACACCAAATACAGAGTTTAATCGCACAAGAACCACAGGCTGATTTCCTTTTTCTTGCCAAAGTAATATGACTGAAACTTTGGATTAACCTTCCTTACTTCCTCCTATTCTCTCTCCTTCTCCTCTCCTGACTTTTGCCTCCCTGTTTGAACAGCACACTGGTAAAGGCTTATAAACTCTGATGTGATCACATTGTATGTGGGAGTTGTCACTCTTTCTGAATCACTCTGTGTCCCTTCACTCCATGTGTCCGGACAACACAAGCTCTCTGCTGCTGATCAAACTCTGAAACTTTATTGACGAGAGCCTTCAGTCACAAAAGAAAAATACAACAACTAATCTACCAGGGAGTTTCTTATCGTGCTGCTGACAAGCCGCTTACACAATTATACCATACTTCAATGTAATCTGGACAGATAAGACGGTGCAATGTGAGCCAAACTGACATGTGGTCAAATGTTAAAAGGAGAAGCTTCTTTGTGATGTATCAGAGGATACAATAATTTATGTTTTCAAGACTTTCAAGATTTAAAATGAGTTATTGTTTCTGTTCAGTGTTGAGGCACAGCTGAGTTATGGCCTACGCTGCATCACCTGGCCACCTCCCAGATGTTTTGTAAAACAGGAAATTGCACAAGAGGGGAAAGCCCTACAGAGCTTGAGCACTATAAAGTGATTTGGTTGCATCTTTGAAAAGTAAAAGTGAGACAAGAGAAGATTGTAGATTATTAAATATTATTTTAGTATTATGTTGACTGTAAAACCAAATCTTGTTTAAAAATGTACCTCAGGCACTTGGTATGATTGCATTTCTGTTCATTTTCAAATTAAATAGGGAATGACAATGATAGTGAAACGTGAGCGAGACACTAACAATAAAGACTGTTTAGAGATAACGTCTCCGCACAACTGTTCATTTTAATATCAATGATTTAAACTGGCTGCTGTGGTAAAGCAATGATCTGATGACTGATGGACCCACACACACACAAACACACACACACTAACCTTACTGACAGTGGTAGAAAGTAACTAGGTTGCTTTTATTCAAGTATTGTATTTAAGTACTATTTTGAGGTACTTGAGTATTTCCATTTTCTGCTTGCTTTATTCTTCTACTCCACTACATTCATTTTAAACCTCTAGTTTCTTTGCTGATTCACATTATAAATACAAACTATAATCAAAAAATACAATCTGATGTATCATTATAAGTAGATATAAGACTGTATTGATCCCTTGGTGAAACCCACGGCCCTCATAATATATTGTAATTTAAAAAAAGCCCCACTTTTACCAGCTACAACCTTAGTGTAATACATATTAATACATCAATAATCATCATATCAATAATGATAGTCCAATAATTTACATTATTCTGAAACTAGCCATTCTGCATAATGAGTAGGCTACTAAATGTAAGGAAATGCTGACACTTTTGTACTTTTACTTAAGTAAAAGCTCAAAAGCATGACATTTAGATACTTGTAACAAAGTATTTGTACCCTGTAATGATCTGAGCATTTGTTTCCCGGCGTCGGGAATCGAACCCACGACCAGTGAGGAACAGTTCAGCACATGTGCATACGTCAGGGACGCCCTCATCCTCTTCGGTGTAGCGGAAAGACTCACAACACGAGAATGACCATGGCCGTGTAGTTTTATTATAGCTAATAATAAACAGGCCCTCGGTTGCTTATTTACATCTCAAACAGTGAACAAAAAAACCCATAAACATAAACACGGGGACTTTTAAAGGAATATTGTCTCCAAAAACTCACCATTTCTTCGTACACTCCAAAGACAGTTCCTGGTAGGAGGCGACGAACTGAAACTTTGAAGCCTTTTTACCAACTCGCTGCAGTCTTTTCCAAACCGAAGTCATAACTCCCTCTGGTAAAATAAAACTTCAACACACAAAAGAAAGAAAAGAAAAAAACACACAACTTCTCCAGCAGTCCAACTCTGCCCGCTCCTTAAACAAAGTTCCTTAAAAGGTCTTCTGCTCCTTCTGCTGCTGCTGCTGATGATGATGATAAACTTCACACAAGCTGCGACTCGCGCTCATTGGCAATAAGTCGAATCACGCAGAGAGATAAACAAACAGCAATGTCGCCATGTATCCTACCGACCAAGAAAGAGCTGTAGGCTGTAATACAGAACAGGCAGGCATCAAAGAGGAACCGATTCCGCCCTCCTCGGTGTCATTCAAGCTGCCCAGAAGCGCCTGATATGAAGCTAAAGTTTCCAAACCAAACAACTGCAGGAGCTCTCATTGACTTCTCTCTCTCTTATTGGCATTGATCCACATGGAGACAGCAACCGCTTAGTCAAGCCTTGTTGTAGCGCAGGTCTGCTGCTTCGAGAATGAGTTCACCCTCCCCTCCTCCTCCCCTCCCTTGGGTGACAGCAGGCAGCAACAGAGAGACAGGCAGAGAGTGAGACAGGATATGCAAAAGGGTGTCTGCTGGTGATGCAGCAGTATGCAAAGGTCTTTATCTTCTGCGGCTTACAGGCGAGTGTGTGGAGGCACTGAGGTAACAGTCGTACCTGTAGACTTTGATCCTGACTGTCTGTGTCACTGGAACAGGCTTATCTGACAATTACGGTTTCACTTAATCAGCTCTGCAAACTCCTACAGGCTACAATGTAGTGTCACTGCAAGTCTCACTTCTGCTGTGGAATATCTGAAACCCGGTTTGTTTGTTTTAAATTGAGCTCATAGTTATAACTTAAGTCACTTCCTGAGTTTCAGTTGTGTCATCCAGAGCTCTCCAGAAAAAGTTTGTGTCAACTACAGAGGAATAGTTTCCATGGAGAGGGCCAGTTAGTGTGTGTGTGTGTGTGTGTGTGTGTGTGTTCAAGCTAGGTCAAGGCATAGGGATTTTCCTCAGTGAGAGCAGGAGTGTATTTTTAGGTGGGGGAACAGGGATGGATGGATGGACGGAGGCAGCTGGGGTGGAGGAGTGTAGGGCAGCAGCAACTCTCTCATGACTCAGAGTTGGTCTAATATTACACCATGGGTCCAATATTCAGAGGAGCATTATTGCTCTCAGTGCTTACAGCTACGCCTTCCTTTTTTAAACACACTTCCCTGTAAACACTGTACAGGTACTTTACGCCAACACAGGCCTTTGTATTGTGAGATTTAAAGTGTCAACAGCGTCATTTGGTGGAATAGCATTCTTACATTTGTTTCTTTTTTTCAAACGTCCTTATTTCCTCTTTTGGAGGACCAATCTCAGCGTCGTTCCCCCTGGTGCACCCTACAAAAGTGCCTTCTTGAATGCCCCTATGCTACATAAAACATAATAAAATACCCTCTAGTGCGCCCTCCAGTGAAGAAAAGGTGACACAGTGCTTTAAAGCGTGTACTGAAAATGTAGTAGTTATATTAACATAATACTAATCTAAGTCACATAACTGTAAATTGTTTTGTCCACCACGGTTACACCATATTTTATACAGTAAATCTAACACCGACCTTTGTATTGTAACATAAACGTGTTAACAGTGTCCTTCCTTGTGTTGTTTCTTGTCTTTTTGCCCCACTTGGGGGTATTTCCTCACTTGAAGGGACTGATGTCATTGTGTTGCAGCTCCCTCCACAAACACCTTATTGTCCTTCCCGGCTCTCCCCGCTGACACCCGCAGCTCTGACCTCCAGTCTGATGTCTATTTATTTTATTAATCACTCAGTGTAGCACACCAACAATACTTGATAATAACAAAAACAACCAATAGATGGACAAAAAACAAAGAGAGGTGAGAGAAACAGGTGAGAAATATAAGTGTCAGAAATTCCACATTTACATTTAGCTGATAGTCTTCGTCGTGATGAAGAGATGGAGAACAAACGGAGACACATGCAGTGAAACTGTCACTAAGACTGCCAGAGGGACAGACAGGCAGATAGATTCTAACAATAACCACAACATATGTTGATTATAAATAGACAACAGCATGAGACTTTCTACTCAAAGCGTCACTCCCCTTCATTCCTGCTCTCTCCACAGCAAATGGTTTTCCTCACTCTGCCGCTTTCAACGTGACCTCAGAGGAGGAAGAGGAGGAGTAGGAGGCCTGCAGGAGTGAAGGAGCTACGGCTTGACTGGAGACAGTGTGTCCCCTGTTGGTCATCATTTGCAATATCATCCTCTTGATTATCTTTAATTCAAATACAGAATTACTGTATATGTCTGCGGTATACACTGTAGTTATATTTCAAGATTTAGATACAAGGAAGTCATTTACTGGCTTTTACAAACTGGTTGCCTGCGTAGAAAACTGTAATTCAGGTCTGATAAATGATTCAATCCAAGACTATTTAACGGTTAAATAGTGGCACAGTCTGCCCAGTGGAAATGGTTCAAATCTAACTGGGCAGACTGTGCCACTTCTTAAAACACAGTTTTACAGCCCTATGCTTTATACATGTCTAAATTAATATAAATATTAATTAAATGATAATAAAAACAGTGATTCAGTTAGAAAGTTAGAAAATCCACTGTGACAAAAAGGTTAAATTGATCAATATTGCATTAAGCAGTTGCTGTCGTTTTTTAACGCTATCTATGGATGCAAATTCTGAATTTCAGTTAATAACCGTGTTATATTTTTAGCTTGTTGTCCCGACATAAAGAGATCATCTATTATAATTTGCCATTTTTTTATTGGACTGGTGAAATTTCAAGATTATACAAAATGTATTTGAATATATGTAACTTTATTTAAACATAAGTGCCTTGTTAAGATAAAAAAAACTCTTTTACAAGAGTGTCCTGGCCAGCATAAAACAGGTTACAAAAACAATTTTTTATACATTTCATAGATTATATATGACTGAAAATCAAGATTTTAAGCTTCTGTTCATTCATTGTTTGTAATTCAACAGATTTCAGGTTATAGAAGTTGAAATAATAACAAGCTAAAGATAATTCTCATTCCGTCTCATAAATGTAACTCAGAGTTAAAGGGTTTACAGATTATTGATTGACAGCTCTTCTGTTCTTCAGTCAAGACACTAAAGGGTCGGGAACATGGTGTGATACCAATTGATTATTTCACTCAATTCACAAAGCAGAGTCTGAAGAGTCTGGAATTATCAGTACAACCACAAACATGCAGAAGATATGTCCTGATAGATGTCCCAACAGTTCTTAGGAAATCTTCCACCCACCTCAACTTCACTGCAAGGCCAGCAGCATGTAGTAGCACGTAGATTATGCAATAAAGAGCAAAAAACTGATAAGAACTGGTCTCGCTTCTCTGTGTTGTTCTTTCTGTTTCTAGTTGGCTTCATTTCTGCTGCAACATACAACAGATGGCAAATTTAACAGCCAGGTAGTGCGAGTTTGGATGCTAATATACGCGGTATCATCAATCTGAGACGCTGTTTCTTTACGTTACCCACCAATCCTGACATGTAGTGTGTGTATTGAGAAAACAACTAAATGTAAAAAGTAGATGTATCTCCATGAATCCAGACTTTTAGACAACTGTCAGGTCCCCTGTAGGCCACTTGATGCTCCTTAAATGTATCAGATCGCTATACATGTGCACTAAATTACACTTGCAGGTGTAAATGGGCACATCTGCAAAGGTATGTCATAGCTCGCATTATAAGCTTCTCCCAAAACACTTTCAACCAGTGGGACGTCAAATAAAGTATGTCTTAGCAGTTGGGTATAAAACAGTAAGAAAGTGTGTCTGTGTCTCCGTCAGGGAATATGAAAGGAATCCTTGATCCACTGGTCCCTGGAGTTGCTGCTGGGTGGGTGCAGAGACACGGACGAGGAGGAAGAAGAAGGCTGTGAGAGAACTCCTGTCTCCTCCTCATCTTCTTCCTCCTCTTCCTCCTCCTCTTCATCTTCAGAGTATCCATTATCAGCACTGAACGAGGCCTCACACAGAAGCGAGGAGCCCTTGTACTCCTGGATGGCCTCGCGGAGAGACCACAGCTGACACAGCAGAGACATGTCGAGCTGACGCAGACCGACCTGGTGCACACAAACACAAAACATCTGGTCTCAAAGAGTTGATACAACAAATCAGGACATTTAGGAGGACATACTGTCATTTTTGAGCTCAGAATTAAAGCAGTGAATGATTGTATCAGGGTGAACCTTCTTGACCATTGAACCACATCCATGACAACCGAGCAAACTCAGATGTGGTTAAAATCTTGGAAAAATCTAGTAAGTGGACCTTGAGTTGATTCATTAGTCAAACTTTAGCGCAAGAAGAGCTTTAATGCACATGTGTGGAGCAGAGAGTGGCAGGTTTAGCACAGGTTTAGGTTTCCTTTGCACAGAACAGCAAATGTTTGTGCTATTCAAACACACAGACCCTACCATCTCTTTCCGCAGCAGAGCCAGAGCAGCGTCCAGTCCGCCTGGTTTGCTGTGACCGCGCTGCGCGTCCCCGCCGCCCCGGCTGATGTCGGCCTGGATGCGCGCTCTCTTGCTGTGCACCTTTTCGATGTCCCGCCACGACCCGCCGCTGGAGTTCAGGATGCCGCTCAGGCCTTTGGGTAGCGGCGGCAGACCCTCCGCTGAGAGGACACCGCCCACCGGACTGTCCGCCGGGCTGCACCGACTCCCGTCCATCACCGCGACGCTGCACGGCGGACAGACTCAGCACCAACACCACAGCCCCCGCATGGACCACCCTTAAATGCGCATGCAGCTCAGTGCTGTCTCACCATCACCCAAAGGTGCTGTTTTTCTCTCCCTCAGCAGCAGAACAAAGCGGTGCGATCCGAAGTCTTGGAAACCGGCTTTTCAAAGGCAAACGCGAGTCAATGTCCTGTTTTTTTATGGATGTGAGTGGGGCAACATTAGACGCAATGAATCCTGGGTTAATGTCAGGCTTCCTGGCTTTGTTTGGTTTCCTCTCCTTTGTGTGGGAGAGTTCACCCACAGCCCCCGGCTCCGCCCGGCAGTGACCGCACCACGCCCCGCTCCAGTCTGGGTTTTGGGGCAAAAGGGAGGCTGTCGGTGGTTTCATTTAACTGGATTACTGCAGAGCTACGTTTAGACACAGCACTAACAGATACAGTCCGACACTGATGTCCTAAATAAGCCCGTGATTTGGGGGTAGACCAATAGACTGATAAATTAACCACATTAAAAGAAAGAATACATAAATACACGTGTCAATAATTTAATTCCCAGTGCCATAGTTTCCACTTGTATTGAAAAAGGGTGCACAGGTATGGCTGCAGGTGTAGTTTTAAAGACGACACATTTTAAACAGAATTGCAATTTCCATGTTTATTGGTACTGAAAATGGTACTTGTTTAAATACAGCGTTTTCCAAATTAACAAACTTTATGGCATTGCTTTTGCGTTTGGCGCCCCCTTGTGGAAAGAAACAAACTCCTGAACAGGCAAAGCTTTATTGAGGTACATAATTAGAAAACACTAACAGCCTTGAACAACACTGAAGCTGGATTGGATCTAATATGAAGTGCCATCTACTGATGTACAGCGCACAGCTTATTTGCTCTAGATGTTTTGAATGAATAAAGAATTATGGGTCTGACTCCTGAATGTTGCCCTGTCTCATTTGAGCAATCACATTACCATCTTCATGTATCAAATATATTTACAATAAAATCCTCAGAAGCGCCAACACACAGTGACAATCTTTGCATCACCAGAGGGCCAGACAACAGAAATCTGTCTGAGATTCAGACTAAACAGTAAATGGAAAATGCACAAGTGAGGGTCTGATCAGAGGACTTGTGTGTTCAACAACTTAACATTTTAATTGAGGACTTACTGTCCAGTAGTATGTTATTTATCAGCACAGACACTCGTGCTTGTGCGGACACAGACTTGTATGTTACAGGCAGTTGTGCACTGGGGTTTTAGCTTGTGTTTGAATTTTGTGATTTGCAATCCAACACCTGTTTTTGGATACTACAGGACACCCAATAAGAAAACGGATGTCATCTTCCCACATGTCAATTTGGTGGCCATTTTGGATCAATAAAAGCCAAACAACTATGGAAATACGTTAGCAGTCTTTTACTGTAGAATATAGTTGAGAAGCTTTTTTTTTTTTGTACAAGTTTTTTTATTTAAAATTAATATCAATGATGAATGTGCATTTAGAAGTACTCAGTTCTATCATTATAACTTACAAATTGACAGTAACAGTCAAATGTTCAACCAATTGTACATAAACTTATTCTGAAACCATGTAACATGATATTTCTGCCAGCCATATAGGTATGTTAACTGAAAAGCAACTTTTAACATTTGAATCCTATTTCAAGTGCATTTCCTGACCAATTTTGAATTCAGCTCTATGCAAGGATTCAGTCAAAGAGAGATGCCGCAAAGCAGCGAACCAGAGTCAGTATTCCAGGACAGAGGCAAAGTAGAAACAGCGTTCCCATTAATCCATGGTTTCAACCTTTTCCAGGATGGTTACTGGCTGAGCTCCTTGAGGCTGCGCAGTGAGCCGGCACAGCTGGCGATGAGGCTGCACAGCTGGATACTTGTCTCCAGCGAGGCCGAACTCTGCAGCTGGGTCGTGGCCCAGCGAAGTTTGGTTAGAACAGCGTCCTCGGCTTCTTGCAACACAGGTTGGAGGACAGTGCTCGGCGGACTAACTGGGGGGCGAGCAGGTGCTAGCGCTGTGGTGGAGGCAGGAGTTGCAGGAGCAGGGGCAGCAGGTGGAGGCAGGACAGCTCTCCCCCCCGCGGCGGCCCCCTCACAGTGCTCCGGTCTGGGAACCGACACACTTGCCTGACTGGTGCCAGGGCCTCCATTGAGTTCAGGGGCCTGGGACGGGGCAGGGGACTGCGCTGCAAGCTGTCTCTCTCTCACTTGGGACAACGCTGCCTGCGCATTCAGAGCTGAGAGGAGTGGAGAAAAAAAAAACAAGAACGAGAGACACGGGAACAAACACAAATAGAAAAATGACAAATGGCTCAAGGCAACAAAGAGCAGCGATGGAGGGAAGCAGGCAGAAAAAAAGAATACATCGGTGAGGAGGGGAGAGAAAGTGTATCTATAACTCATGTGCATTAAATGTGTGTGTGTGTGAGGAGCGTGTACCAGGGTTGTCCTTGTCAACATCAGAGTCCAGCTCCTGACATGAGACACAGTAGTTTTTCTGCTGTTTGTCCTGGAGAAGAATAGTCTGAAAAAAAAACAAAACACACAAAACAAACTTATTTCAGCACACACGTCACATCACCTTATCCACATTAATAAAAGGCCCCTCCATCATCACAAACAGCGTAAAAACCAACTCCGCTCACCCCACACGCGTCACAACACTCCCCCAGCATCCTGTATCCTTTGAGCAGGTAGTCTCCCATCAGCTTGCTGATTTTGTCTTGTCGCTCCCTGCGAGCCTGGATCACCTTCATCTCTGCCTCTGTTGGAGGCTCCCACTCAAAGTCCTCGTTATCTGGAGTCAGTAACAAAGTGCTGATTCAGTCAACAGACAGCGTACTGCACTGCATCCTCCTCCTCCTCCTCCTCCTCACCTCAAACTGTGATGCTACACAGTCCTTAGCACTGCTGTAACGTGTGTGTGTGTGTGTGTATCCCGCCCACCTCTGCGAGCACTTTGCTGACTTTATTAATAAGATTTCTACAACGCTTTTATTAGAACAAACATTCAACACTTTTCTCGCCGTGTTGCTTTTTAAACGTCATTAGCATTGCCGCAGTGCTCTGCTAGTTGTAGTTACAGGCTAACTTAGCTAGCACACATCCAAACCGGTTATCTAACGTTGACGTGGTGGTGACGACGAATATTAGCAAACAATTAATGCCACGCGAGAATCGTCGCCTGCACCTGCGCCAACACACTCCTCCACCCGCGACCCAGGTGAACCGCAGGACATGTCGAAGTTAGCTTATCAGCTCACAAGTTCACAAACCTCCATTCAGAGCCATGTTGCTTCAGTGCTTCACGTTGTGCGTAATGACGTCAGAGGCGTAAAGAGTCGTCGTCGTCTTCTTCTTCTTTGAGGTTTTCGCGACAGTTGGCGTCCCTTAACGGTGACAGTGCGTGGCGTTCTTCCCTCCTCGTTGTTGTTGTTGTTGTTGTTGTTGTTTTTAAAAGTGCTGTCGCGCTCATTAAACCAAGTAGGCCTTTTTTTTTTAAATATAAAAATAAAAAATAAACATTTATTTGACTAAATGTGTCATCTTTTGCTTTCTTCTGTCTCTTTTTTCTCCTTTTTCATGGCACTGATGACCTGTTAGATGTTTTTCCATAGTTCAAAGTGTCAACAACAGAAAACATTTCAGCAGTGTTGATGACCTCTGTCATTCATATTGAGTGTATGACAGCTACATCCCACTGAATGCATCAGGCTATTTTCCCTACGACTTTTTGTTTCTCAATAAATCTCTAAACTTCCTTTTCCACCCAGTAACAATTATAATAATACATACAGAAAATATGTAACCAGTGCTTGAAATATTAAGTCATTATACAATTACTATATATTTTCATAATTTGTTTATTATTTTCCAAAAAGTTTTATTTTTATTTCTGAATTACTATGGCTCATATTCTTTTTACAAATATAAGACACAACAACTGAGTCTGGGTTTAATAATGGAACATAATTTATGTGTCTCAATCTGGATATTCTTGATTTGATAGAAGATCATTCTTGAACAAATCTTAGAATATAAAATTAATCATGATTTGTTCATTTTGGAAGCAGATATTTTATTTATTTTTATTATAATTTAATCCATCTCTTAAATGACTAATGGTGCTGAAAAGAAACTAA